CTCTACTATCTAAACATTTCATTAATGCAAATGCTATACTGCATTTCAGAATAAGTATCCTACTCCATCAGCAACCAAAAATGCCTGAATTCCAGGTGTGGCAAGGCTAATAACTGTTCCTCTTAAGCACACAAATATACTTAATTTCCCAAAAATGACCATGTGTTAGTCGAGGGAATATAAGTGGAAATAAATTTTTTCATTGTTAAGCTAATGTTTTTAAGATGTTAGTATTCCCCTTTAAATCCCTTTATCCCATTTCTTTGGCTGAATAGTGACAGAAGCTCTAGGGTATGAAAGCTATAGGATACAACCCTGAACCACTGGTAACCTGAATCATTGCACTGGAGAAAGCTGATCCCTGACTGCTGCATGAGCAACACAAAAACATCTATCACAGTGAAGCCATTTATGGCTCTATTTAATTGTTACCAAGACTTAGTCTACTTCATACACGAAGAGTTTCCATTGACAGTAATTTCTAATTACCTATTTCTTATCATAATTCAACTTGAGAAATTATAATTTGTGGGGAGTCTATTCATTTTACCAGATGATATAGATTTTCTCTTTATTTTGCTCTCTTTATATTTCATTATGGAGCCTAATCAACTTTCCATGAATTTTTTTCAAATGTTTTGTGAAATGAGGCAAAGAAGAAAATAGAAGAAAGAAAAAAAGAAGGGAGGGAGGGAGGGAGGAAGGAACGAAGGGAAAAAAAAAGGAAAAAAATTAAAGAGGGCTAGAAGAGGAAAGAGGGAAGCAGATTAGAAACAATGATGCTCCACGGGGGTGTAATTGGGAAATGCAAGAAGTACTGTCGGTAAATTAACCCCAACCCCTCTTCTCAGCCTCTCTTTAATGTAGGGCCATAAAAGCTAAAAACTCCTTTACTCATGCTTCTTTGAAACTACTACTTCAGAAGGCAATGAATCATAAATAGGAAACTGCTAAGTTTTTCTGGGAAAGACTTTGCACTTTGGATGAAAGGGACAGATAAAGCTGTACTGCTACTTCTCCCTTCGTCTTTCTCTCTGCTGTAAATAGAATTGTGATATCTGGATTTGGGACAACTCTCCCTGTGACCATGACATGAAAAGACTGAAGAAAATATAAGAAAGCCCTGGAGATGTCACACAAACACTACTCAGTTGCTGAGTGCATCCTAGCAGCCTCCTGCCTCAAGTCTTCTGTGGTGAGAAAAATAAATCCCTAATCTTTGGCTAATTTTTCTCTGGGATTTTGTTTCTTGCAGCTGAAAACCTTCATAAGTGATTCAGGAATATTAAAGGAAAGACTAACCCTGAGGGTATTATTAAGAAGTGATTGGTTGAAAAGGTAAAGAACAGGAAAATGTCAGAGTTGAGTCTAAAGGTCTATAACGATGGTGGCATGAAACAAACAGTAGGGATACTCTGGAGGGAGACAAGTCTGGAACATACTGATCTCAAGGTGCATATAGGACTTCCATGTGTAATAGGCAGATGCTCATAAATAACAATTTTCAAGTGTGTGAGTAGCCTGTAGCTTTTACTTGACAGTGAGAGCTGAGTCGTGGCAGTGGTTAAAAATCTTTAGGGTTAGTAATTCAAAGGACAATGGGGAGCATTCAGTGAATGTAGACAAAAATAAATTATTAGTAGAAATAAGTAATAGTATATGAAAAATATATAAATATAGAAGTAAGGCAGAGCTCCAAGATGGTAGGTTTGCCAATAATATAAAATTAAGTAGATGGCTTCTAAGACAAAATATGAAAAGTGTGTCTTCAAACTGATGTCTCTTTTCACATGCTGGCCTTCCCTTATAATATGGCTCTCTAGCCTGATCTTATGCTTAATTTTCCTTGGCCTCTCACACTTGTCACCATCCCAGGGCTTCTCCTCAGTTAAAAAAAGTCTCAGCATTCTCTAAATTCATTATGTGGGTCAGAGCCGTCCTACCAACTGTTCTTTTATTAATTTATTTATTTTTCCCTTTAGATGATCACTAGAAATCTTATATTTTCTCTTTCCATCAGAGTCGATTTCTATACCACTTACAACAAAAAGTCAGATAACCAAATACAAAATTGGGAAAGACACTTGAATAAGCATTTCATAAAAGAAGATTCTGAGACAGCTAGTACACATTTGAAAGATCCTCAACCTCATCAATAGTCATAGAAGTGCACATTAAAACTTTAATGAATTATTATTACAAACTAATCAGATTTGCTATTGGTGAGAATGAAGAGCAACAGAAACTGATACATGCTAGTGGGAGTATATGACAAATTGATACAAACCTTTGGAAAGTTGGCATTGTTGATTAGGATTTGACATATACATACTTTATGTTCCAAGGATTCTAAATCTAGGTATGTATTTAACAGAAATGGGTATGAAGGCATACCCAAAGAAATTTATAAGAATGTTCACAGTAGAATTTATTGTAATGGCCCTCAAATGGAAATGAAACTCAAATATCAATTCTGATTAGAATGGAAAAAAATAAATTGTGATCTATTTCATACACTATAATAATATAGTGAAGTGGAAAGAAAAACAGGCAAAACTGCTACATACAATATGGATGAACCCCACAAATATAATAGCAAATAAGCAAGACACAAAAGAATATATGTTAATCCATTCATATACAGTTCAAAGATGGGCAAAGCTTATATATATTTTATATATGTATATATTTTATCCACATATATTTATATATGGTTAGAAGTCAGGAGAGGAGGTAATAGGCAGTATTTGGGAGAAGGAGGATTCTGAGTGTTATAAATGTTCTAGAAGTTTCTTGATGTGGGTGATGGCTATAAGGGTTCAAAATAATTTATCAAGCCACTTATGATTTCTGCTTTTTTTGGTATACATGTATTTCTTTAATAATATATTTTTCAAAATTCCTATCCCCACTTCCCTTTCATATGAAGTTTCTACTTCAGAATGTACTCTTGTTGACTTTTATTAATCCATCATTTTTGGTTCCAACCATACTTCTGGAAACTTTCGTCTTTTTTATGTCACTTAGCCGTTCCTAACAGTGGCTCTTCTGTGGCTTTTTTTCCCCTCGAATTTCCCAACTCTTTCTTGATTGACACCTTTAATTTTCTCCTTGTCTCTCTCTTCAGCTTTATCTTCATAGACCACCCAAGAGAGCTATGTAAGTCTACATTATAAAGAATTTTTCTAAATCTCCATTGACAATGGAGGGGATTGTCTAGCAAGAGTATAAATGTCTGTTAAAATAATTTTGATAATGGATAAATTGAAGTCTGCTAGATCGCCATTTCACTCACATAGTATCCATCACTCCTGTGCAGTTACATTTATATGGAACTGCTCATTCCTACCTTCCTTTCTTTGACTGAAAATTCAATGAGAGTTTTACCTGGTAGGCACTTACCATATTTTTTACATAAAAGAAAGTGTGCAAAATACTGAGAGAATGGTTTTAGTAAGCAAGGTAGTTAAGAATAAGAATTACATATAACATCTACTAAACAAGTTTATTTTGCTTTTAATGGGAAATGAAAGAAAATTTATATTTAAGCCACTTTCTATAACTTCATATTTGTTGAGGACAGTGGAAGGAGGGAGGGAACCACCATTTAACTGTAGAATGTGTACAATCCAAGAGATATTTTATACTCTTCATAATCAACACTGCATTTATGAAGTGGGTCCTGTTATCCCAAATTAACAGTTTTGAAAACAGAAATTCAGAAAAGTCAAGTAACTAGCTTGCTTGAGATCATGTAAGAATTAAATGACCTAGCCAAGATATGAATTTCAGACTGAGTGATTCCAAAACCCATGATCTTTCTTCTTTACCATCCTGCCTCATTTCTATGAAGTTTAATGAGACATGCGTGTATACTAAGGCAATCAGGGACTTCTGATTACTTGCATAACATTTAAAAATATGATATTTTATTGGCCTCCCTTTATTTTGGTGCTTAACATTTAATATCTAAATTAAGAAGACATTATCTTTATATCTTTCATAATGCACCACTTTCACAGTTATCCATCAAACCAGTTGGAAGTCTTGGTTGGAAACTCCTAGAGACTGCTGATAACGGTGCTAAATTTTTTTTCATTAGTTCCATTCATTAGCTTCAATAACTGAGTACATTAACTAGATATCACACATATATTAATCGCATAACTTATTAATGTTCAGAGTATAATTCAGTTGTTACCTTTTTAAATACATGATTTGATTGCTGAATCAAATAGAACTGTTATTTAAAGATTTTAAATACAAATTGTAACTGTTTAATGTTGTTCCTCTGATTTTTTTTTTTTCAGGCAAACAAATACTAAAAACACTTTCTTACAAGCACTTATGTATAAAGAGCTACTCTTTCACAATAGTAAACTATGTAAGTGTCATTCAGTAGTATTGAGGGAAAATTGCTCGTTATAGGCAGTATAATGGCTTCCTAAAGTAAACTGGGTAAAACTCCATCTACTGATAAACTTTTATTCTCCATCTCCCCTTTTTCAGGTACATAGTGTTAATGAGCATGAATTATATATAGAATGAGTTATAATATGACAAAGCACCAGAGTTGAGCTTCTAACAGTCCTAGTATATAGTTACTATCCTAAGTATTGTCTGCTTCCTGCTGACTGAGCAGCTCTGTACCAATGACATCACTTACAGGAAGCTCACCTATACTGCTGATTAGAGGTAGACATTGGGAGAGCAGATGCTAATAAGGAGGTAAGACCACAGAAGTGACAAAAAGAGGTTTAAATAGAGATGCCTAAAGCAAAATATATATATTTTTTCAGATATATTTAATATATTATTTATATGTCATATATCATATATATGTCATATATCATATATATGATATATATCTTACTCTTTTTTTAAACTCTTTAAATAATTTTACACAGACACAAACAAAGGTATTTTACTAGAAGTACAGTTGAATACTCCTATAAAGTGATGTTCTGGACAAGGGGCAAAGGAGGAAATGACGTACATACCTTTGCTTGTCCGGCTTTTGTGATGGCAGGCATATTAAAGAGCTGGCCAGTATAAAAATGCAGACCACTGAACAGGATCACTGCAATAGAGTCACCTTCATTCTCAATTACTTCAAGGATATCCTCTAATCTCAGTGTTTCTTCCCCCTAAAGTCACGTTAGGCACAAGTTACATTATATCCACAATAACAAATTTGTCCCTTTACATTTCCCAATCTAAAATTCACCTTGAGATCTTTCCTACCATAAGAAAAATCAAAGATATTTTTTTTCAAATTAATAATCTTCAAAAATCGGACAAGAGGATGTATTTGAATATCTTTTTGTTATTAAGAAATGATAATAAAATAGTAAAAAAGAGGTTTATAAAGTATCTTTCCAAAACCCTACTGCTTGATTTTATTCTTCAGTTTTTCACTTAATCTTTACTATTTACATACTTATAGATTGTTTCCTTCTTATTCCCATCAAATAAAATACCAGAAAGTACAGGATGTCCATAAAATTTAAATGTCAAGGCAAATTTCTTGGAAATTAGTATTTTACTTATCAATCTAATACTTTATTCCAGAAAAAAGAGGCACGTATACATCATTCATCTGAGTGTAACTTAACCAATATTTTCTATTAGTTTAAGAGTAAAATCTCCTCCACACCAATCTAAAGATCAAGATCCAAACATGAAGAAAATATCAATAAAACTCAATATTATCAAAGTTACTTTTCCCCCACAACTCCCCACCTAAGACTAGTGATCAGTGACTTTCTGAAAATTGTGAATGAATTTAGATTTGGTCTTATAAACAACTTGAGTGAAAATAACTCACCTAGATACATATAGTCTATTTGTATCCTGATAATTCTCATCTATTTATGAAGTCTTCATGTATTTTCTACAGTGCTAAATCTGACATGATTATGAAGTCAAAGCATCATTAACTACATTAATATGTGGGGAAAACTCATTAAGGCATTAATGAATTTTACTTGAATTATTTTTAATTTTTGGTAACTTACTATTTGCTAGTTACTGTATCCCACATTAGGCATATATAATATGTATCACAAATATAATAATACTCTAATTTCTGCTAATAGTCTGAGACTTGTTTACAAAATGATAATCTATAAAAATAGGATTGACAATGAAATCTTTGAATTACTAAGTGATGCATACTTTATACATAAAGAGAAGGATTTCAGTGATTCTAAGAAAAAATTCAGAGTAAAATTAATAATATCATAACCCCAAACTCTTTTTTTCCCTTAGAGGAAGCTAATACAATTTGTCCACCATAATTTCAAAAAAAAGTAAGGAAAGTGTTATATCTACTAATACTTTATTTCTTTAAAGAATCAGTATTAAGCAAATAAGAAATATATTTTTCAATGATAGATATGGTTCTCTCTCATGTTGATGTGCCCTAATCAAGTAATGCTAAAGAGTGGTCCCCAAATTATGATTAACTCATACAGCTCTACAACACTTGTCACTTTTATTACTTTTTTATTTTTTTATTTTTTAAATATTGAGTATATTTCCCTGTGCTATACAGCAGGTCTTATTGGTTATCTACCTTATATACAGTAGTGTGTGTGTTAACCCCAAACTCCTAATTTATCCCTCCCCTCCGCCCTGTTCCCCCGCCTTTCCCCATTGGTAACTGTAAGTTTGTTCCCTATTTCATTTTATTTATTTATTTATTTATTTATTTATTTATTTATTTATTTGACTGCATCGGGTCCTGGTTGCGGCACGCGGGATCCTCGTTGTGGCATGAAGGATCTATCGTTATGGAGCGCGGGCTTCTCTCTAGTTAGTGGCGGGCGGGCTTAGTTGCCCTGCATCATATGGGATCCTAGTTCCCTGACCAGGGAGCGAGCCCGTGTCCCTTGCATTGGAAAGCAGATTCTAAACCACTGGACCACCAGGGAAGTCCCCACTTGTCACTTTTAAAGTAAAAACTTGTGATATATTAGTGGCTATGCTCATTTTTGCTGGAAATAAGCAATTTATATACAACATATGAAACAGATGTTGTTCCAAAGCTGTGAGAACTTTCTATTCCATTAATTTATTGCATGCTGGCAAATAGAAGTGAATAGAGTAGACCTTTAATTTCTCAAATTAGTTCTGGGTTGAAAGAAATAAATGTTCAAACACTGGTTTAGCAGCCTGGGAGCATCGTACATATGTGAAACCTAAAATTTATTCTGTGTGGATCTCTTGGTGCCAAAATTACACAAGATGCAGGGTTTATAGGTCAAAACCTGTACAACTTAGCCTTATATCTTTATTAATGTAAAGTGCACAGTATTTTAGACCTTGAACATATGGTCAAGCCTGACTAGGTATTTCCTTTGTTGTCTGTTTAAATATAAAGGAATCTCAGAGATAAAGTAACTATCAGAAAGTCACATACCCAGTATGTTGGTGGGTCTGGGATTTCCCTAGGGAGTAATAGCGAAGTTCTAAGCCTAGTTTTTTTCTGCTACACCACATCCCTTTCTATTCCCCAGGCCAAGCTCAGAGGAAAATATTTGATCCTTAGATTAAGAGGGGCATAAAAGATAGGCATCATTCAATTTCAACAAGTATCACTAATTTTTAACATGATTTCAATGGCACCCACAGGCAATGGCATTTAAAATTGAAAATGATGTATGCAATTTGTCATCTCCTCCCATCCCATTGAAGAAAATGGCAGACTCCAGTGGTATTAATAGGAAAATAGTTTGCTTGTAATAGCCCTTGAAAAATTAAAATAAATACACTTCTGAGTTAATTCTCTATTTTAAGCAAAATGACCTAACAGTAAGAGTATAGGCCTTTTATACTTTCTTGAAACTTCCATTAAAGTAATGAAGATAATAAACTTTTGAAGAAAATGAAGAAAAAAAATCAATACTAAATAGAAGAATGATTAATATTTATTTATCTTTCTCATATACCTCTCTTGGTTTTATAAGCCGCATACTTTTCTCAATGTTAAGTCCATGAAGTTGAAGCTGTGACTCAATAGCATACTGGAAAAGAAAGATGATTTATTAAATCAAGTCCAGTGTACAGAAGTATATTGAAATAACTGAGAAAAAAATAATAAAATACCAATAAAAGCATATTATTATATTAAATTCAAGGTCAAGGTTAAAAGTGACTAAACAGAATATATCAGAGAAGAATTGCTTAACATAATTTACATGCAACAGTCTGAACATTCTTTGAAACACAAAATATTAGAAATGGATGGAAATGTAGGGGTCATCTAGACTTTAGGAGTACAAGAGATTTTTAGAATAAGATATTAAATCATCTAATGCAAGTCAAAACAGAATTTACAAAATAACCAAAGTGAGCAGGTGGGGATTTGCTAGGCTCCAACAGAGAGTACAGAAGTGGCTTGTCCTAGAAAGAGTAAGCTAGTAAAAGAAAAGGGCATCAAGAAGTTCCCTTCATTGAGAGCCCAAGATATAAATGGGAACAAGAAATTTTAGAAACCCTGAAGTTTTTCAAAATAGGGGTTTGATCCTTTTTAGTAAGATCATGGTTATTAATTTGCATTAATTAAGTGCCTTAAAATTACAAGGTGTAGGCTAGAATACTTAGAAAAGACAGAAATCAAGTTTCTCCAACACTAAAATTGAAATACAGCACTGAAACTGCAATATACTTTAATCTGTGTCTGTCTGTGTCTGGAACAATCATATTTCTTACCAACTGTGATTCCTGAAAAAGTAGCATGATTTTTTTTCTTGAACCACAAAAAATTCTTTTAGTCCTTAATACATTTTTTTAATTATAAAGCATCAATAATTATGTTAGTGTGCTATGAAAACAAATGGACAAATAAATGTTTATATTCCTACTTTATGTACCTAAAAGGTTAAGTACTAGTATATGTATCGATTTAATTTCATAAAATAAAACAGCAACAAGAATTAATAAAACATTTATAACTGCACTTGATTTAGACCAGCGGTTTGCTCAATGTCTTTAAAAAGACTAATAAATCAATGTTCCCATTCAATTCTTTCCTCCTTTAACACGTTTTACTTGAACCAAAGAAATAAAGCTACAATCTATAAAAAATGCATAAATCAAAAGCATTTGACAGATCTTTTTTATTATAAGGTTACTTGGAAAAGACTAGTGAATAAACATTCAAGTCAGGCAAATGATATGCTCCTTTAGGAAGAGCAGTAAGAATATAAATATAATTTGAAGAATCCTTACATGATCTGAAGGGAAGGCTTTAGCTTCTAGGAGAATTTTATACCGTTTGGGTGTAGGCTTGAAAAACGATAACTGCAATGAAATGGATTTATTGAGAAATGCGTTAATGCACAACTTAGACATTTGTTCATTTTATATATACCACACTTTCATTTTATAATCTCCAGCATTTTAAAGGCATTAATTAATTATACAGCTAGATGTCTGTCAAAGGTACCTTCTCTGATTAGCCTTGTTTCCAGTAAATTCTAAAACGGAAGAAGATACTTGCTCATTATATTTATCAATAGGAAAGCAAATTTGGGAGAAAATGTGAATCAGATAAAAACACATTCTCAAACTTTACTTAAATGTTAATTGAAAAATTAACTTCCCAATGCGTTTAATGGCAATTTCTCTATTATGAGACAAATATCATGTTCTGTGTATATTTTATTTACATTGATTTATCTAGCACTGCAGATTTGGTTTCTAGTACATAAGATTTCTACAGTTTTATGATTTTATGAAATCTAATTTTAGGTTCAACTAGAAGTACCTTTGCCCTAATGAAACATTTGGCATTTCTAGAGACACCAGAGAGAAGTAGCTCATGTGTTCAGTGGGGCCTTTTCATTTCTCCACACAGTTCCTGGAGAAGCAATACTGACTGACAATAATAACAATGAGGATGATTACTACTGTTAATTGGATGTTGACCACTAGCCAGGGTGCTAAAGCAATTTTCACATATTATCTTGTTTCATATGTACGAGGTAGGTATTATCCTCCTTTTTACAGAGGAAAAGATTAAGATTTAGAGATGCCAAAACCCTTGTCCAAAGTCAAACAGGTATTAAGTAGCCTAGCTGGGAGCCAAACCAGAGGTGTCTGAACTGAAAACTATGCTGTTTACCATCATAGTTAACATACTCCACAAGTACTTTCCTTCAGGCATATTTAATAATCATGTCTATATTTTATCAAAATAAAATATCAATATCTTAATTGTGCATCTTTGTCTTGTAGACATGTTTTCAAAATCTCACTTAAAAATGAAATACAAATTTTTCATAGCATCAAACAATTACTATAGGTACCATATTTCAAATCAATAATATATTTGACATTCTAAGACATACACATTATTAAGTTCTTAGGATGTAAGAAACACCTAAACACAGTGACTCATTTAAGGTACTAGGTCCTTTTTCTCCAATTTAGTTTTATTTTCTAATTCTTTTTTAATCTACTCCCCCAAAATTAGCCTACAAAGACATACTAATCCATAGTCCCACCCTGCTAAAGCCCAGCATATTGGAAAACTGTCTTTCTGAAAAGCTCACTGTTTGCTACCATTCATACATCATTGTTTTGTGTGTGTGCAGCAGTTTTGCTTTTTACCCACTGTGACTCTTATTCCTTATGTTCTGAGATAAGAGCTATTCATTATTCTAAAGCTCTTTGCAAGAGTCAACTCTCCCATGGTTACGAAGAAGCCATTCTGTCATGGTCCAGCATTTCCTGGTAGAAATGAAAACAACCTCACAACTTATTTTTAAATAAGTAAACCTCCAAATGCTCATGGATTAAAGATTGAAAAATGTCAGATTCTGTAAACAGTGTATACTAAACATTGGTGGAATAGGAAGCTTACCAATAGAAGATGTAAATTAACAGTCAAACCATTCATTAGGGCTATTTCTTTCTCATTGGCTCCTGCAAAATAAATATATCATAATTTAGATTGTTCCGTTAGTTCTAAGAGTACCTGGAAAAACAAACTATCACTCCTTCATCCTTAATGTTTTTAGAGATAAGGACACATTTGATGTCATCACAAAGAAATGGAAGTTTTCCCACTTGACTCATTTTATCAAACAATAGCTGGACTCATATGCATATAGCTAGCTAAAAATTATATTTCCTTTTTGACATAGTAAATAATAATAACATAATAGTGAAGCATTTGCTAAACTAAAAATGATTTATCCTATCATCAGCTACGTTGCCAAATTCCCACAGAGGACATTTTTGTGGTAAGTGTATCTCCAAAAAGAATCTAAAAAGAAATGAAAGCCCATCACATTTTTAAAGCTGGTTGTTTGTAACATCAAATTAAAATGCACCTTTAATAAAAGAAGGCAATGTTGCTAAACATAATTCACTGTTATTACAGTGAGATATACAATACTGTAGTTCATAAGACAAAAGAGCTAGAAGCAAAGTACAAAGAGCTAAATAGCTCTGGGGTTTATTTATACACACTGATATAAGATAATTAATATAGATATGTATTGTCTGATGAAGAAAACACACAAAATTAAGATATCCACTACACAATCATAATCTGATATAATTCCTGTTAACAAGGGTTTTGCCACTGGAAACAGACCCAGAGACAAAGCATACATTGAATACTTAAGAACTCAGAGAGCAATAACAAAGATAATAATACTTTCCCTCTTTTTAGTTCTTATGATGTCTCTTAAAGGCAATTAGACCTGTTTAATAGGAATGATTTCTCTTTACTATCACTGAGAAAAATGGGCTGTGAGCTTTAATGTTTGTAAGGCTGTACTAGGTGTTAGAGAAAATGCATCATACAAGTCTTGCACTTTGTATCCAATGAAATACTTCTGATAGAGTCCCATTTTTACTAAAAGAATAGACAGTAAGTAGAATAATTAATCTAATGAATAGATGGATTTCAGGTTAAGTTCACTTGAGGGAAGGCCACTGGAAATAAGTGTATAACTTAGGAATTTATATTTCAACATAGCCATTTAAGGAAAGGCCTGTGTCTTCATTTAGTCAAGCAAAACTTTTTGTTGCATTTGATTGATGGATTTCCCCATTTGAATGCAAGGTTGGTAAATAATGGTGGCTGTTAAGAGATGTATCTCTGGTCATTGTAATGTGAATAGTGTCTCAAGTCAAGGGACAATAATGACAACCTCATTCTGCATTCCTAGCACTAAATAAAATGTCTCAAACATACTAGAAAGCTTAATTTGTATACAGGGGCATATGTCTTCTACGGTATAAAAGTCTTTTAGAAATATGGTGAAAGAAATGCTGCAAGCTTTATTTTATTCGTTTCTTTGTATTATGGTATGAATTTTTACTGTTATTTCTAAAACAAAACATTATCTATTATATTAATCTTATATAACTCTTAACTCCCTGTTAGCTCTTTACACACATCTTTTCTGAACACTATTCATTTTAATAAAAAATATTCTGGCAGGGAGCGTGGAAGGAGAAAAGGAAGGAAAAATAATACATTTGGCCCTCCTTATCTGTGGATATGAAACCTGCGGATATGGAGGACGTACTTTATTCATGGCACGACTCACTTTATATTAGGGACTTGAGCATCCTCCTATTTTGGTATCCATGGGGGAGCCACGCCCCAAACATACTGAGCAAGCAGAATTAGTAGAAAGAAAAGCATTTGAAAGAATGTGGTGGGAAGAAAACAAAAGAGGAGAAAGTTCATAAATTTTATCACAAAATGAAAACAAAGAAATAGAAGAGGCAGGAAGGGAGTGAGACTTTCTATACAAGGTCAGGCATTCCATTTTTGCTTAGTGATTACCTTCTGATTAAAATAATTATTCATTCCTCAGGAATGTTAGTCCTTCAAATAATAGTGTTCACTTTGGATCACCTAAAATTTTTCTTGCATGGAATGTGATGAACCACAAGTGCTAGGCTGAATTAATCTAGACATACACGTGGCCTTTCCTCCCCTCACTCTCAATGGCATGCTAACATTGGATCAATTCTTTGTAAATAATACCTCACTGACTTGAATAATTTGCCCACAAAAATTATCCCGCCTTGGCACACTTTAAATTCAATCAAGCTCTTCACAAAATGCCCTCCTCACCTGCTAACGAACTTTGTCAAGGAGAGGTTCGGTGTACTTAAAATGTACGTGCGTACCTATGTATATCTAAGGATGGTGCAAATATTAATGCTGCAGAACATTAACAGAAATGTTTATTCCAAATATGACCTAAAGGCACTAAAGAAACAAGCATTGTTAACATGAAAGGGCCACCAGTCAGACTGATTTTTAGCCTATTTTCCAAAGGAAATATATCTAATTGACCTATCTCTTTTGGTCTAATATGTATTTCTGAAATCAACATTTGTTGTTTTAAGATATTTCAATATTATCAGCATTCCATAAGACAAAAAATTTTTTTTAAGCAAGCTGAAATTATTTCAAGTTGCTTTTCTTTGTACCTTTTCTTTCTCCCAAGAACTTTTTGTGAAATAATGTTGAAACATCAATAACTATAAGTATGAGCTGTAATTCCCTGTGCTGTACAATATATCCTTGTTGCTTATCTATTTTATACATAGTGGTTTGTAACTCCCCTGTTTGGCTCCTTCCTCTTCCCTCTTCCCTTTGGCAACCACTTGTTTGTTTCCTACATCCATAACTCTGCTTCTGTTTTGCATATACCTGCTTTTGTATTATTTTTTAGATTCCACATAGGTGATATACAGTATTTGTCTTTCTCTGTATGGCTTCTTTCACTAAGCATAATATGCTCTAGGTCCATCCACACCCCTGCAAATGGCGTTATTTCATTCTTCTTTATGGCTGAGTAATATTCCATTATATATGTATACACCACATCTTCTTTATCCGTTCATCTGACTAAAATTCAATAAAAAATAAAAATAAAAGAAAGAACCACAAGTATTGAGGGCAAATTTACTAGAGGCCAAGGTTTTTTTTAAAACTTCATGAAAACTTACCAGGATTTGAAAGAGTCTTTATTTTAGAAGATCATATAAAACTCACTGCAGTAAATGTAAAAATTTCAATTATTTCATCTGAGATGGGTGTGAGCCAGTGTTCTCATTTGAAGAGTGCTTTCTTGCTTGCTTATTTATTGAACATAACTTTTTGTTTACCAGAAGGTGAAAGTTATGTACAAGCACTGCCTTCTTATCTCAATGCCTGGCATGCTAACATTTATTGAGCCCTTATTATGTGCCAACACTTCTAATGTAACTTGTATTATTTTCACAGTAACTTGATAAGGTATCTACTTTGATTTCCATATTTATCAATGAGGAAACTGATGTGCACAGAAATGAACTAACTCGCTTAAGGTCTCACAGATAGGAAGTAGGAGACAAAATCTTATAGAAAAAAATATTAATTAAAATCTTTGTTCAAGGTAACATTTGGAAGTGTTGTCTACATTATCCACTCCCTGTAAGTCAAATATAGGAAGCCCATGTTCATTACTAACATCCCTCTGCACCTTTCTAATCTTCATTTAATTTCAAATATTTTGCAAAGTGAGGTCAGCAGGGTTCCAGGCTGCTTAGTGTTTGATAAGAAGGTTAATGATGGATCTCATAACTGCCATACCATGTTCTGTATATTTTATTAAGCAGATGCAAATGTTAATTGTGGATTTTGTTGTAAGGTTTGTAGTTCAGCTAAGTCCGAGAACTTTCCACTCTGTTTTTCAAATAGCAAATTCCTATGGCCTTGGAGGTGGCTAGTGTGTGGTTGAGGATTTATGACTTTGGAGAGGGCTCCCAGGGATTATTGCTTCTCTGAGGGTCAACCACAAGTTTCATAAAGCAAATTTATGTTCACATTACAACATTCTTATAAGCCGAAATGTATGTATCTAGCCCTTTGTGATGTTTATGTACCCAGGGAGAAGTAGGCTTAATAATAATACTAATAATATTCTTCAGCAATTCTATTTCTAGCATCTTGATAATATGATATTAACTATAAGGGAAAGTTATTCCATGTTTTGCAGAATTGTTAGCTCCATATAAAATGTTTTATTAATGGTTTTTCTTCTCATCTGAAATGGAAATTCTTTTCTATGTCTGTGGACATAGAAATATAGGGTTGCTCACTGTGTCTTCCGCTTCTCTATCCACTCTATCAATTTGTACACATAATAATTTTTATTATACTCCTGTTACTTCTTTTTGAGAAATTTTATGGCAAAATACAGGTTGTGGTTTTAAGAACCTGGAAGATTCAGTCATAGTCCAAAATATACAACTTATCTGTTCATGACACATTTAGACAGCCCACAAGTAGCAAAAATCAATTTGACTTCTGCTGCTCTCTTCTGTAGTTACCACATAATTTTAACATTTATTTTGTGATTTATATAATATCTACTTCCAAAGAGGATTTTAGGTTTCTTGTATTACATGTGAGAAAGAATGATTTTAAAAAATTGCAACAGAGTACTATATATGTGGATGAGAAACAAATTAGGAGCTATTAAATATATATTTTTTTTAACTAAATATTTTTGCTACTTCGAACTCTACCAAATTTTCTCAGAACTTACTATCAACCAAGGCAAAAGGGAACCTGCATGGGATTTGCAGCAAAGAAAATAAACATGAACAGACACACAATACCTTCTAAAAGAATCAGTTCCTACTAAATCGAACAAAGTGAACTCATTCATTTTTCAACTTAAGAACCGTTTCTTGGACTAACATATACAGTTTTAAAAGTAAAGAAATTTGGGGATAGATGATAGCTACTGAAATTAAAAAGAAAAACAAGCTTTTAAAATATTGCTCATAATATACTTTTGCAGATACTGTCAACAACAAAAATGTAGAAATATTTCTCCTGATACAACATAAATTGTAGAGAACAAAATAAACATTTAATAAACTAATCATTAAACTAAATATTTAGTTTAATGCACTGACAATATTTCAAATAAAATATGACAATGCATTTGTCATATTAAGGCTTGAAACTTTGAGAATATATATATACTGTATATATATAAAATAAACAATACATATACTGTTTATTGAGTTTCATATGTACAAATGTGACTTTGCCCATTTCAAGACATAATTGTTATTTTTATATCCTGTATAATTAGGATCAAATGTAATTTAATTTATACAACATTCAAGGACAAAAATCACAGAAAACATAAGGAAGTTTGTCCCATACGTTACAGCTTTGTATGGTATTTCAAAGACACACAAAAATCCCTAAAGCTAGAACTGATAAATATTCTTTAAACATTTTTAGTAAGCTCAATCTTCTTACTTATCTAAATAAATCTGAGTATTTAGTTGTTGTTGTTGTTTTTTAATTTCCTTAGTAATCATCATGAGAGGTGAGCTGGTTTAAATTTCATTGATCATTCTGACATATGTGTATTTGCTGGGCAACAAAACACATGCACATTTAATAAGTTGCAATAGAGCTATAAACTTTTAAACGATCAAAGGAAATCTTTTTGCAGGTTTTATGGGCTTCATAAATAAATCTCACTAAATGATAGCCTTACCACTTCCCTGGCCTGTATATAAACATCTGAACTCCTCTTAAAGGATAATAAATACTAATCACAAAATAATAGGATTAGCATGTAATTTATGTTCTGAAAGCAAATCTAGCAAAGAAAGAGACAGTCCACATCTAAGGAAAACATACATGCTCAGGTCAAATTAATGCGGGATTTTTTTCAGTTTTTTTTTAAATTTACATGTTAGGCATTTGAATGAATATAATAGGCGTCTAAAAAATGAACATAAATGAAAGCATTGTCAAACAACTAATTAATACACCCGTAAATGTAGTCCAGGATTGTTCAGGTGGGAATTCCCTCCATGAGAATATACATTCCTCTGGATAATGCTGGCAGTCTGATCAAATGCTCTGTGCTCCCAAGATCCTGACTGGTTTGGCAGGAGATGCTATGTTTTCACCTTTACCCACCCTGGCTGACAAGGTTCTGGCCTTGAGTTTGAGCCCCAAGCATCCAGGGCTCTGCAGATTCGCCCTGGGGCTTGTGAGAGTCCTGCACTCAGGCCCTACACACTCCTGGCTCCATGCACTACCCCCCAGATATTGTGCTTCCAGCTTTCAACTGCTTCTTTCTCAGCAGTTGCTATATTTCTGGTCAGTAGGGATTTCTATTTAATTTTTTTTAGTGTTGCTATATGTTTGTTAATCTAATTTTTTTTCTATCATTTCTCTGTTTTCGGAATAGAAAGGAGCATTTTCAGTTTGTACTTAATGTGTTATCTTAAACTAGAAGCCAATCTTCTGATCCTATAATATAACCACATAAAACAGAAATGTGTGTAGTGTAATGATTACTCAGTAATAACTAGCAGCAAACCGAGCTTGTTGCTTTTGCTTGCAACTCTTCGATGGAGTGTTGTTTTTTTTTTTTTTTAACTTGCTGAACGGAACAGGTTACACATTCATATAGTTCATAAACTAAAAACAGGTTTTCCTTAAAGTCTGGTAGTTTGGGGTGTGTTAAGCACCCACTGTGTTCCCCGCTGTGCATGTGGTGGGGTTTGTCGTGCTATGAAAACCCATGTCAGAACCTTCAGGCTGCCCAAATATCGCAGAGAAGGCTTTTCCAGTCTCCTGCCTAGATACTGGGAGCTAAGTTAGTGTAGAGGTGCATAAACATTTATTTAACTCTGTTTTCACAGGGAATATGTTATGGATTGAACTGTGTCCTCCTTGCCTTTACCAGTGAGATTTTAGTCTAATAGAGAATTCTAAGGACTAATTTTTAGTTGACTGAATACCTAAACTTGGGCAGTAGTCCTGCAACCTGGGCTGGGCCATCTAGGCCTGGTTCTCTACCATGTTGAGGCTTTCTGGGAAGCCAGCCACTTTGGGCAGGAGTAAAATGCAAAGTTGTTTACTGAGGATCTGGTTTGTGGGGGTTGATTGGGGCAGAAGACTATATTTATGCTGGGGTGATTCCCAGAAATACATAAGAAGAAGCTAGAAAAACAATGTCCCTAAATTCTTTGTGGTATGTTTGCAAACTGCCTTAGATTGTTTTGACTATAATAAGTTTGAATTTCTCCTTGTTAAACATAGTACAAAAGCTTGAGGTTTCCTCTCCCTCTTGCAGCCAGTACAGAGGATGTAAATGGTGGCTGAAGACTGAGTAAGCTTCACCTGATTGGTGTGGGTGCTGGTCTCTTGTCAAATGTGTCCCTAAACTTCCTTCTCCTCGCAGGCAAGCCCCCAACCAAACATCTAAGATAGGAAGTGCTCCTTTCTTCCTCTTCTCCCTACATGGGGTTACCAGCAAAGCCAATACAACCACTACTTAGATAGAGTAATGACTTCTGCAAATTCAAGGGTGTTCCTTCTCCCAACCTCTCCTCTTTCCTTCCCTTACAAACCCTCTACCCTAGACAACATCCTCCCCACCACACACACACCGCCCCCCCACCCACCCCGAGGATCTCTGCTTACCCTTCTAGTGTGGTCTGGTAATATCACCACCTTGAATGTGAATTGCTATCCTTATTGCCCCTATTCAAGAAGAGCCAGCTGGCATGTTGTCAGGAAGCACTATTTAAAATGTGAATTGTTACAGAGCAAATGAATACTGTGTAAGAACATTAAAACAGAGAGAGAGATTTCTAGTTGTGGCCTTTTCTTTTCCACTTACAGAATTTTCTTTCACATTTCTTGTAAAGCAGATTTAGTGGTGCTGAACTCTTCTAACTTTTGCTTATTTGTGAAACTCTTCATCTCTCCTTCAAATTTGAATGATAGTCTTGCCAGGTAGAGTATTCTTGTTCATAGGTTTTTTTTTTTCTTCACCACTTTAAATATGTGATGACACTCCCTTCTGGCCTTGCAGAGTTCCTGCTGAAAAGTCAGCTGACTGTTTTATGGGAGTTCTCTTGTATGTAATTACTTGCTTTTCCCTTGCTGCTTTTAAGATCTTCTCTTTCTCTTTATTTTTTGACATTTTAATTACAATGTGTCTTGGTGTGGACCTCTTTGGTTTGATCTTATCTCTGTGATTTCTGGACCTGGATGTCTGTTTCCTTTCCCAGGTTAGGGAAGTTTTCAGCTATTATCACTTCAAATAACTTCTCTGCCCCTTTCTGTCTTCTCCTTCTGGGACCCCTATAATGTGAATGATAGTACACTAGATATTGTCCCAGGGGTCTCTTAAACTGTCCTTATTTTTCAATTCCTTATTCTTTTCTCTGCTTAGCTGGAGTGATTTACACTACTCTGTCTTCCAGTTCACTGACACGTTCCTCTGTATCATCTAATTTACTGTTGATTCCATCTAGTGTATTTTTATTTCAGTTATTGTATTCTTCAGGTCTGTTTGGTTCTTCTTTATATTTTCTAACTCTTTGTTTAACTCCTCACTGTTTTCATCCATTCTCCCTAATTCATTGAGCATTTTTATAATCACTGCCTTGATTTTTTTATCGAGTAGATTACTTATCAACACTTCACTTAGTTCTTCAGTTTCATGTTGTTATTTGTTTGGAACATATTCCTCTGTCACCTCACTTTGCCTAATTCTCTATGTTTATTTGTATGTTTTAGGGAAGTTTGTTACATTTCCTGATCTTAAAGAAGAGGCTTTATGTAGGAAACTTACTATGGGGCCCAGAAGCACACTCGTCTCTGGTCATCAGAGCTATATTTTTTGTTTGTTTAATACCTTAAATTTCAAATAAGATTTTAGGCAATGCTGAACAATCAACCCAATTAAACAGATAACTTTTTTTTGAAATGTTAACACATTTACCATCTAAAACTATCTTGAATAGTTTTACCAAGAGTAGATAGAATTCACTTTAAGGAATACACTATATACCAAAAAACAGCATCAACTATATTATTTTCAACAGCACTCAGCCTAATTTTAAAAGATCACCATGAATTAAGTTGAAATGAACCAAAACATAGTGGTGTTTTAGACCTTTAGCATGTTAAGGTTAATGTTTATTTTACCATATAATAAAACCTTAGAAAAGTCTTTTAAGTTGATTTTTATGAAACTTATTTAATTATAAATATGTGTGTTTCTCATTGGTGAGCAAATACTAGTCCTAGAATATATAATAAAAAATAACATTAGCAATAAGTCTTAATTAAAGGCATGCTTACGCCTTAGTGTTATGGATTAAAATAGAAAATCAGGACATTCTTCAATAAAATTTTTACCGTATAACCTATGTGTATAACTAAATGATCATATCTTTATGATTCTTCTGGAAAAAATTCATTTTATACTTACCTACAATGTCAGTCATAAGTCCTAAAATAGTCTCATCTCCTATAATCCAAGGACGTTTCCCTACATCATGACCATAGGCTCCCCTGAAATTGAAAAGGGAGATGAACAATCTTAGTTTATGTGTGTGTCTGTGTGTATCTGTGTGAGTGTGTGTGTGAGAGTTTTCAGATATCAGCATTAGCAACTGGACATTTCTAAATGAGTCTTTGTAGTGTTTTAATAAAAAGCATGCTTTTTTGAAAACCAAAAGTAATACTTGAGAACTCTGCTTTTTAACTTGTCATTTAAAAAAATTTCTTTGATTTCCTTTCTGTTGGGGAGCGTAGGGGCGATTACCCATATATTTCATTATTTTTCTCTAGTTTGGAGTCTAAGATGTTATTTTTTTCACTTTTCTTTTGAAAATTTCAAGACTATTTGAATACCTTACTTGTATACCATACCATATAGTTGTACCTATACTAAAACATATTAACTGTTCTTTGAGGCTAGAGATTAAAATTATTATTAATTAAACATTAAAATATAATTACAATCTGTAAATTAAATAGAAGTGTATAAAATGTGACCATACTCATGGTAACATTTTAAGTAGATAGTAAAACTTGGCAATAATCAAAGCCAACACTATTTCTTGACCTATTTTCTAGCAATTTCATCTATCATGTTCTAGCTCAATTTTATTATTCTAGTAAGTATGCCAGTAGGCATAATGGAAAAAACACAAAATACATAAGAGAACTTCAACTCTCTGGTAGTTTCTATCAAATGAGGAGGCAAAATATTTGAAAAATATAGGAGAAGAAATTAAAACAAAGGATTAAGAAGGGAGTGACTTTGTGTACTGTTACAAACATATCTTAGGAAGCTTTGAATTAGATTGTTTTTAATTCTTTTGGAATCCAAAGACTATTTACACTTGGAAGAAAAGAATGAGCATGTGCTCTATGTATAGTGCTAATTGTGATGAATACATACTCTGAAATTAAGTAAGCTGGCAGTGGTGAGCTGGTAAACCTTCTCTCAGAGGTGAAGGGTAGCAGAACACACCACACTAAAATGTAGCATAGGGGTATATTGATCATCTTGAGCTGTAGGCACTTGAAAAACAGAATATGTATGGAGAAGCTTTCTCTGAACTTCCCTATCTGCCTAAAGACAGATCCTTCAAAGGGAATTCAGTTGTCATAAATCCCCTCCTCAGGAGTTTCATCAACCAGGGAAAATTGATTCTTAGCACAGAAGAGATTAGAACTCAGTGACACCCCAGATAAACTTTGTCACAAACTATACCTCTTATCTATTCTTCAAGGACCATCTTTCATAGAAATCCTTTACTCTCCTCTAAGAGGCCTTCATCTCTCCTCCTCTTTCCCTTTTAACAAGGGATTTAAGCTTGAATTCTAAGCCACTTTTGGGAGTTACTCATTTTTCCCTGGGTGTTTCCTATGTATACATGAGGTATTCATGTTAATACACTTCCGTTTGTTCTTCTCTTGTTAATCTTTTATTACAAGCTCTCAGGTAAAAACTCAGTAGGGTAAAGGAAAATATTTTTTCTCCTCTACACAGCAGTGGGGAAGTGGAAGGGAGGAGCCCTGTGTTTTAGCCCTTGCTGTTTTTTGCGGTATGACTACCCCCATTCACGTGGCCAATTTGGTATCAACAAAAGTCTTGAATATTTAGCAGTTGGCTCCATCACCTGGGATGAGACAGGTCCAGGGCAATACTGGGCCCGAGGCTACATTTATTAGAGGTTTATAGGGCCTAATTTTCCACTTTTATAAAAGTAAATGGGTTACAATATATAACTTAAAGGATAGCTATGAAAAACAAGCAACATGTGAAAAAGATTGGTACATGGTACCCCTTTTCTGAGTCTTCTTTCCTAATGAAAATCTAATGTTAAAACTCACTTCACCAGCATGAGGTGTAAAACACAACTTTTAAGCTAATATTTCAATTACCATATAAACTGAGATGAAGGAAGACTTTCTTTGAGAATAAACAGACTATAAGAACTAAGGAGGAAAAGAAGGGCAACTGTTAGTGCATATTATTCATATTATTATTAGATAGCCTGCAGCTTGCCTCTCTCTTGACTTCCAATATAAATACTAAAGACAAAAATCATTATCATTAAATAGTATTTAAAGGCAGATACTTGGATACATTTTTATTTTAATCATATAGAGCTCCATGGCCTTGCTGATAGCACAATACATCTTATTACATTTAGGTAGTAAAAGTCTATGTTCTGCCTCAGAGAATTTATATCTCAGAATATGATGCCACCTACTTCTCACTCTGGTAGGCACCATGATAATAATCTTTAAGGATACTTTCTTGGAATGCTTTTGTCATCTTCCTCCCTTTAAAATATCACATGCAGAGTCAGCTTCTTCATTTTGTCAGTCTCCTAGCCTGAGATAGTGAAATGTATTTAGAAAGTGTTACCCAAATAAACTCAAAGTAAAGTGGCCTGTCATTAGAAAGAGCTGATGTGGATCACACTGCAGTCATAACGTACATATTCAAGTTAAGAGAAAGATTATGTTGTTCTCATTCAAAACTGCTTAAAATAGTTGCAGTATAGCTGCAATCTTCTTTTACAAGTGCTGGAAAGGAAAAGAGAGCATAGGAAAGCATTCACTCACTACCATAGCATCAATCATTGCCTGAGTGGGCTGTTCTCAGAGAAGTCTACAAAGCAGTATTTGCTCAGAAAATTAAATTTCAGAATATAAAATCTAATTAGGAAGTTAATAGAAATGTGGATCCTCTTTGAAATATGACTGTGCTTTAACCATCCTACAAAATGAAAAGTTGCCCTGCTTTTAAAAGCTCCCCCCAATAAGCGAATAAATAAGACTTCACAGTCTTCCTTAATGATATCACAAGTTTTTTTCTGTGATCCAATTGTTGATTAGCCAACAGAGATGTCAGGAAAAGCTCTGTCACATGTCATACCATGTATTTTCTTATTCATACTGAAGGGTGGCAGAATATGCCACACTAAAACTGGCCTCTTTGGCATAAGGATTATTTTGCACAAAGCACAAAGAATGCACTTGAGGTCCCTAGTGGTGCAGTGGTTGAGAATCCGCCTGCCAATGCAGGGGACATGGGTTCAAGCCCTGGTCTGGGAAGATCCCATATGCCGTGGAGCAATTAAGCCCATGCGCCACAACTATTGAGCCTGTGCTCTAGAGCCCACAAGCCACAACTATTGAGCTCAGATGCTGCAGCTACTGAAGACTGCGTGCCTAGAGCCCGTGCTCCACAACAAGAGAAGCCACCACATGAGAAGCCCACGTACCGCAACAAAGTGCAGCCCGCTCTCGCCGCAACTAGAGAAAGCCCGCACGCAGCAACAAAGACCCAACACAGCCAAAAATAAATTAAATAAATAAATTAATAAAAAGGAATGCACTTGAAAAACAGCAAATACATGGGGAAGATACCTCTGAACTCCCCTTATCTGCCTGAAGACAGATCCTCCAAAAAGGACTCAGTTGTCATAAATTCCCTCCTCAGGAGTTTCATCAACCAGAGGAGATTTACTCTTGTCACAAGAGAGGAAACTAGAAGTCAGCACCCCAGCCAGACAAACTTTGTCACAAGCTATCACACTTCCCATCTATTCTTCTAAAGTTCCATTCATCCTTCCTAAAAATCGTTTACTTTCCCCAGAGTAGCCTATATACCCCTCCTCTGTCCCTATTAAGACAGTACCTAAGCTCTCAAATCTCATTGCTTTTTTGGATATTCACTTTTTTCTTTTTCCTGTGATGCCCTCATGCACGTAATGTTAAAAATGTACTTTTATGCCTTCTCTCTTGTTAATCTGCCTGTTATGTTTATTTCATAGACCCAGCTAATGGATCTAGGAGAGTAGGGGGACAGTCTTTCCTCCCTTACAATACACTTTTTTTTTTTTTTTAAAGAAAGAAACCCATAAATTGAACCACTGCAGGTCTGCAGGAGCAGACCTCTCCCATGTGCTTTACCAGTACCTTTTCTGCACACACATTGCCATGTAAGTTAAGTCACTGTCTGCAAACCAGGCCTTTTGTTCCTAATATGTAATTCAGCGGGCTATTTTTCTCTTTAAATAATTCTACCTAATATATCTCAGTTCTTAGAAGAATGCCTATAAAAACACAAATGTGGCAAGTTTTTGCTCCTATGAAAAAGAAAGAAATTTATTTATCTAGCAGATAAGACAACCCAGAAGACCTAAGATATAGTGATTATATCTTAGGGACACAATATACATTTCTCAACTTACAATGTGCTCTTTAGGACTGACATATCTTTCCCTTCTAGCCGAACTTTACCGCTATGAATATTAACCCAAGTTATTCTCCTTTAAATAATCTGGGCCATTGGTAAAATATATAATTTTAAATGTTCTCAAAAATTATTTAAGTTTATTGCCTATCCATCCTAGCAGACCCACAATGAACAAGCATATGATATTGTTGCTTCTTATTGTTTATGTTAGCTTCTTGCTGATAACTAATTATTACATATCAAAGAGTGAAATTACCCTAAAAGTTTTCTATTTCAGAATATTAAAATTATCTAAATATTATCATTTCACCAAACAAATAATATATTCTCCAAAGTAAAGTGTTATTAACCTACTTTAGAAATCCCATACAGTTGAAAATGACTTTGGAAAATAATGATAGTCATTTATAAAAAACACAGAGGTAAGTATTTTATTTTCATAGTTTTGCCTTAAGTAACTTGAAGTTTTAGAAGAAATCATTTGGGTCCTAAAATATTTCTAAGTGTGCCTGTATCCTTGATTTTTCTTTAGTATAAATAATCAAATATGGTAGCCATATGAATTATAAGATTGGATGGCATTGTGACCAGTGATGGTTTATTTTGTAGATAAGTAGGTAGTATGTCTACAATAGGCCATAAAAGGTGATGACATAGAAGATGAAAACCATGAGCCAGATGTCATTTCCTACATTATAGGTCATGGATGGCCAGAGACTTGACATCAATATCCCAGAGTAATATCTTGCTTAGAGCACTCAAATTTCTATGTTACTCTTAAGATTATAAATTTTTAATATTATTTTTTTTCCAACTAATTTCAATGTGCATTAGAGTGTTTAGTGACTGTGTAGCTCTCTTTGACTCAGTTCTTCTCAAAATCTCTCAGTGATCTAGAAGAGGGGGAGGCACTGGCCTGGCTTGGGTATCAGCTAAGAAGTAGGGCAGAAGTGGGGTTGGAGGAGATGAAGAGGAACAGATAATCGGATAAAACTCACCACAGTAATGGGAGGCCCTGGATCTAGAGGCAAATCAAATATATGCAGGGGAGATTTAAAACAAAAGCAATAGCCAGAAAGGGAATTGAAGTAACCAGCAGGCCACCAGAGTGGCATGAAGATTACTTTAAACTAAAAGCATGTGGACAAACAGCAGCCTAAGAAAGAAACATTATCTAGACTTAAGGAAAGCCTCCTGAAAATGCCATTGCCATTGACCCACCGTCAGAGAAAAATGACGCTTAGCACTAGGAGTTACAAATTTACTTCTCCTCCATCTTCCTCTTGGGGGGCTTCCAGCCCGGAAAGATACTGCCCATTATCATCAGGATGGAAAAGCCCAACAGAACCTTCCATACTTTCCTACTGAAGCCCTAAAACTCGCCCCTTTTGTTAAGTTGGTTTTAAACCTTTACTCTGGCTGATCAGTGAATCACTGTTTGTAGAGTGCTTCTGCACACATGTGCAATAAACTTTTCTCCTGCTAATCTGTCTGTTGTCAATTAATTCTCATGCCCCCAACCACTGGAATGTAAGTTGGTAGAGGAAATGTTTTCCTCCCAACACAACCTTAGCTGGAAAAGGCCAGAGTGGAATTTTAAGCTAAATATTTAGGAGCAAAAAGTAATGAACAAACCCATTTGAGATGAAAGATCAAGGGTGGGATAGGGGAAAACAGGATTGCGATCATGCACCTAAAACACCACTGACGTTGAGCTGGCAGGGCTATGATGTTGACTGGGCCACCACAGTTTACAGCAAAAAGACTAAATAAAACAAACTAGCTACCTAATCTTTTTCTCAGAAGAAGTCTTTTTAAAATTTACTTTACATTGCTTGAAGCATTACAGTGCACCTCCTTGCTAAATCGTCTGTCTGATGAAAAATAGGTAGAACGGTTTAGGATTATGTAATTTTCTGTTGTCACAAGGTAAAATATAAAATTGAAAGGTAACAACAATAGAAGGGCATTATGACAGAGAGGCACTTTCCTGGAACATAACTGGAATACATGTCTTGAGAATAATCAACCATTCTTTTAATAAAGTAGGATAATCATAAGAATATGAATAGGATAGAAGAGTGGCATCTTTTTAAAATACCTGAAGGATAAAAATGCACAGTCTTGCTGAATGAATATCCAAGAGTCAAGGACACTCTCCAAAGTTCAAATTCAATCTAATTCTTTGCTATCTTTTACGTTAAGGCCAAAAATGAATATTAACCATTTTTATTAAATATGACCCTCATTTTTTAAATACTAAAGCTTGCTAGTGCAAAATGCTTCCAAATGTGGTGATATTTATTTTTCAATTTATGCATAAATGTTACGCAGGTAAAGTTATAATATGCCTAATAAACTATATAAAACTCTATTATTCTTGCATTGAGTTGTGAACTTACATTCTTAACCACTTAAATTAAGAAACTTTGCAATGTTATCTAATAGCCATGGTAGTAATCATTGGCATAGTCAGTGTAAACTAAACTTTATAGAAGAGGTTTTGGTCTCAATGTAAAAGACCACTGACCTGAAGAATATAGAAAGCTGGAAAAGACATTCTGAGTTTCTATAAGAACCAAATATCTTGCTCAGAATTCTTATCTGGTTTAGTTTCATCTTCCTTCCTGAATTTTTTTTTTTCCTATCCTTCAGGTTTAGCTTCCCCTTCATATCTATTTTTCAGATTCTAAGAGTCAAAAAATATTTTTAAAATAGTTGTACTATTTTTAATATTTTAAATATAAAATGTTTCAATAGTTAAAAATATTTTAAAATATTTTCAGTTCCAGCTTTATCAGTAATCACTGGGGAAGGATAAGAAGTACATAAGATTAGGTTATTTTCCTTAAGGGATTTACAATATAGCTAAGAATATGAAACTAATGAAAGTAGACACCTCTAAACTGCCTATTGTAGAGCACTGATTATTAATGCAATAGACATTCAGGGAGGGCTAATCAGTGGTTGAGAAGGTTGATATTAAAGAGGGTAATCATTGAGGTAAGCAGAGAGTATGAAGGGTTTCATAAGCAGAAGAGTAAAAGCAGAACATAAAAGAAGGAGAAAAAGATGAATCCTAATTTAAGATTCCTGCATGGTTAGCTAAGCCCAAATGGAGCATCTTCTCAATAATCATGTTCAATTTGGGGAGGGAAGCACCTTCTGTTCCACTCAACCTCCTCTCCCCACCTCAACAATTTTTATTTTCTTATTTATAAAAATTAGTGTGGTAGAGTTTAGCCAAGAACTAATCATGAAAACACTAAATTGAATCCTAAATATTAACTGCTTTGTTAATCATTTAGAAAATAAAATAATTGCATACGATGTAGATGTGTCATTTCAAGGGAGAAACTTAAATTTTTAAATATTTCAAAAGTTTTACTATTGATTCTGCAACTAACTTGCCATAATACCTTATTTACTGATCCTCAGTTATTTCATCCAGTGTTAAATGACACAATCCCTCAAGTTCCCTCTGCTCTAAAATTCTAAGATTCTACTAGACACCTTTCCAAATATTAGACAACCTGGCGTGATTTTTAAAATTCTTATATGAGATATTGAATGATAGCTTGTGAAATAATACTTACATTTTGGCCCACTTATCTAGTTCTTCTTCCAGATATGTTTTAACCATTTTTGGTTGAAGCCCAAGAGAATTTCCCAAGAAATAGATGGCTTCTTCATCCTTATTCACTAAAGATAAATCAACTGAAATAGAAAAAAAGGGAAAATATACTTATTCAATTAATTAACATTCTTCCATTTGGCATTGTTAATCCACTACAAACAATGAATGTAATTAACTCCAAGAAAGATGATACATATCTTAAAATTCCTCCCAAGGATAACATCAGATTCTCTGAAAAATAATCTTTTACATTTATATTTTAAAATACAGTTTAAACAGATAGATGCTTTTGTTCAGGTCTGTCATATTTATTATGCTCCATGAGGAAATCTAGATTAACAGCTACTCCCAATCATAAATAGCCAATAGAAAAGAGTTAAAACCAGAATTTTTACAGAAATTATATCAGCCTATCTAGTCATAGCAGAAGGTTACCAGAATTTAGACAAGTAATAATCCTGGTGTTGTAGATCAGGCAAATTAAAAAAATCTAAATGATTACTTATATATCTGAAGTAGATATATTGAATTTATAGATTTTTGTTCTTTGTATGCATATAATATTAATACATATGTAGGCAAAGATTGTTCTCTATATCTACTTTTTATTCAAATAAATCAGAACTTTAGTGATTTGTTTTATAATTTTTCCTTGATTGCAGTAAATGCAATTTCATTAGCAAACCAATCTATATGCTTCAAGTATTTTCTAGAAATGCACAAGTTTATAATTGTGTTCTACTAAGTTTTATCTTAATTCTATGGGAAGAAAGATTAAGCTTCTTGCTGAAATTTGAATCATTTGGTAGTATACTTGTCTTTATTTAGACTACTTAAATCTTTGCAGGCTTTTTAAAAGCATACCATCTAATTCAACCTACTTTTATAGATCCTGTGTCACTTTTTCATTGGCATTTCTTAAGTCAGACCCAATCAAAGAGGTGTAAATACTGTTCACACATTTAAATTTGATTAATTAACAGTTCTTTGTCGATCTAGAGAACAAATACTGAAGGATTTTTTTTAGAATCCAGAGGTTTTAATTGGTGTACCATGGCTCAAATTTCAACTAAGCATTCAAATAAGTAGTTTAAAGACTAAACATGTTCTGTGTGTGTCAGCCTTATCAACAACCCAGGAAGAGGAGGCAATCACCCAGATCTCTGCTCCCATTTTTTTTTTTTTTTTTTTGTCTTGTTCTTTCATTGGTGACGCTTTTACAGATATATAGGTATTGGGTTACTTTTACTTAGAAAGTCATTTTTAAAATGTGTTCAGTGTGAAAAAAAAGTGGAATTGTAAACTGAATTATCTCATCTCATGCCTCCCCAAAGTGTGGTTCCCCATCCTAAACTATTTTCCTTTTACTTGGTTGAGGTTTGGGTTTTTTTGTTTGTTCGTTTTTTGTCTCAAAGCACATCAAATGTCACCATGTGAGCATTCATTTGGCATTATGTAAATAGGTAGAATAGAGTATCAAGAAAGTGCTTTGGTAATTATCCACAAGAATGAAGAGATAACACACCACTCTCCAACCTAATGCCATCAGATCTTTACAACATGAAAGACAAACAGGACTTTAAGCTTTGGGGGCCTAGGCTTCTCTTCTCTGAAGAATGATAAGAAAATTTCTTATTAAAAGTTGGTACTCTTGGCAGTCATGGGGTTCAGGACATGCTACCTCAAAATGTGGCACCTTGGACTTCTCTGGTGGCACAGTGGTTAAGAATCTTCCTGCCAATGCAGGGGACACGGACCTTGGTCCGGGAAGATCCCACATGCCGCTGAGTAATTAAGCCCATGTGCCACAACTACTGAGCCTGTGCTCTATGAGCCCACGAGCCACAACTAGTGAGCCTGTGTGCCACAATTACTGAAGCCCTCGCACCTAGAGCCCATGCTCCGAAACGAGAAGCCACCACAATGAGAAGCCTGTGCACCGCAATGAAGAGTAGCCCCTGCTCACCGCAATTAGAGAAAGCCTGCACACAGCAACAAAGACGCAAAGCAGCCAAAAATAAATAAACTAATTAATTTTTTAAAAAGTATTTAAAAAAATACGGCACCTTGGCATATTGGATGTTTTAAGCTGAAGGAATTTGAGAAATGGCTAGTGTAGGAAGAACTTTCTGACCTTCACCTAACCAAGTCATGAGATACTCACATCATAAGATAGCTGCCAGCACACCCTGGAAGAAGATGTGACTAGTATCCATATCAAATCCAGCTCTCCCACCAAAAGCATTGGGCACACGCAGTCTGCACAGGGATGCTGCAACCTAAGAACATCCCTTCAAGACCACAGAAGGTAACTGTTTCATGTAAATTCATAGAGGCAAAGTTAAGTGAACTGAAAAGTCAGAAGAACTATCCACAATTGAAAGAACAAGAGGAAGCCGTTGAAAAAAGTAATAAAACATAAATAAATAATTTACCAAAGAATTCAAAACATTGATAATAAAAATGTTAACTGAATTAGAAAAAAATAATTGATCTAAACACTGATATTTTAACAAGGAACTAGAAAATATAAAAAAGACCCAATCAAAACTAAATAATTCAGTAGCTAAAATAAACACATTAGAAGGAATGAATAACAGACTAAGTGATACAGAAGAATGCAAAAGTGATCTGAAAGATACAATAATGGAAATCACCCAGTTGGAACAGCAGACAGAAAAGTAAATTTTTTAAAAACAAAGCAATTTAAGAGATGTCTACGATAACATTAAGCATGCCAGTATTCACATTATAGGGATTTTAGAAGACAGAGAGAGAAGGGGATCAAAAATGTAATGAAGAAATTATGGAGATTGGTTCAAGATGGTGGAGTAGAAAGACGTGCTCTCACTCCCTCTTACAAGAACACCAGAATCACAACTAACTGCTGAACAATCATTGACAGGAAGACACAGGAACTCACCAAAAAAGATACCCCACATCCAAAGACAAAGGAGAAGCCACAATGAGATGGTAGGAGGGGCACGATCACGATAAAGTCAAATCCCCTAACTGCTGGGTGGGTGACTCACAAACTGGAGAACACTTATACCACAGACATCCACCCACTGGAGTGAACGTTCTGAGCCCCACGTCAGGCTTCCCATCTGGGGGCCTGGGAACGGGAGGAGGAATTCCTAGAGAATCAGACATTGAAGGCTAGTGGGATTTGATTGCAGGACTTTGACAGGACTGGGGAAAACAGAGACTCCACTCTTGGAGGGCACACACAAAGTAGTGTGCTCATCAGTACCCAGGGGAAGGAGCAGTGACGCCATAGGAGACTGAACTACACCTACCTGCTAGTGTTGGAGGCTTCCCTGCAGAGGCAGGGGGTGGCTGTGTGTCACTGTGAGGACAAGGACACTGGCAGCAGAAGTTCTGGGAAGTAATCCTTGGCGTGAGCCCCCCCAGAGTCTTCCATTACCCCCACCAAAGAGCCTGGGTAGGCTCCAGTGTTGGTCGCCTCAGGCCAAACAACCAACAGGGAGGGAACCCAGCCCCACCCATCAGCAGACAAGTGGATTAAAGTTTTACTGAGCTCTGCCCACCAAAGGAACAGCCAGCTCTACCCAGCATCAGTCCCTCCCATCAAGAAACTTGCACAAGCCACTTAGATAGTCTCGTCCACCAGAGGGCAGACAGCAGAAGCAAGAAGGACTACAATCCTGCAGCCTGTGGAACAAAAACCACATTCACAAAAAGATAGACAAGATGAAAAGGCAGAGGGCTATGTACCACATGAAGGAACAAGATAAAACCCCAGAGAAACAACTAAATGAAGTGGAGATAGGCAACAACCTTCAAGAAAAAGAATTCAGAATAACGAGAGTGAAGATGATCCAGGACCTCGGAAAAAGAATGGAGGCAAAGATCGAGAAGATGCAAGAAATGTTTAACGAAGACCTAGAAGAATTAAAGAACAAACAAACAGAGATGAACAACACAATAACTGAAATGAAAACTACACTAGAAGGAATCAATAGCAGAATAACTGAGGCAGAAGAATGGATAAGTGACCTGGAAGAAAGAATGGTGGAATTCACTGCTGTGGAACAGAATAAAGAAAAAAGAATGAAAAGAAATGAAGAGGGCCTAAGAGACCACTGGAACAACAATAAGCACAACAGCATTCACGTTATAGGGGTCCCAGAAGGAGAAGAGAGAGAGAAAGGACCGAGAAAATATTTGAAGAGATTATAGTTGAAAACTTCCCTTACATGGGAAAGGAAATAGCCACCCAAGTCCAGGAAGTGCAGAGAGTCCCATACAGGATAAACCCAAGGAGAAACACGTCAAGACACATAGTAATCAAATTGGCAAAAATTAAAGACAAAGAAAAATTATTGAAAGCAGCAAGGGAAAACCGACAAATAACATACAAGGGTACTCCCGTAAGGTTAACAGCTGATTTCTCAGCAGAAACTCTACAAGCCAGAAGGGAGCAAGATATACTTAAAGTGATGAAAGGGAAGAACCTACAACCAAGATTAGGATCTCGTTCAGATTCGATGAAGAAATCAAAAGCTTTACAGACAAGCAAAAGCTAAGAGAATAAAGAACTACTAAACCAGCTCCACAACAAATGCTAAAGGAACTTCTCTAAGTGGGAAACAGAAGAGAAGAAAAGGACCTACAAAAACAAACCCAAAACAATTAAGAAAATGGTAATAAGAACATACATATTGATAACTACCTTAAAAGTGAATGGATTCAATGTTCCAACCAAAAGACACAGGCTTGCTGAATGGATACAAAAACAAGACACATATATATGCTGTCTACAAGAGACCCACTTCAGACCTAGGGACACATTCAGACTGAAAGTGAGGGGTTGGAAAAAGATACTCCATGCAAATGGAAATCAAAAGAAAGCTGGAGTAGCAATACTCATATCAGATAAAATAGACTTTAAAATAAAGAATGTTACAAGAGACAAGGAAGGACACTACATAATGGTCAAGGGATCAATCCAAGAAGAAGATATAACAATTATAAATATATATGCACCCAACATAGGAGCACCTCAATACATAAGGCAACTGCTAACAGCTGTAAAACAGGAAATTGACAGTAACACAATAATAGTGGGGGACTTCAACACCTCACTTACAGCAATGGACAGATCATCCAGACAGAAAATTAATAAGGAAACACAAGCTTTAAATGACACAATAGACCCGATAGATTTAATTGATATTTATAGGACATTCCATCCAAAAACAGCAGATTACACTTTCTTCTCAAGTGCGCATGGAACATTCTCCAGGATAGATCACATCTTGGGTCACAAACCAAGCCACAGTAAATTTAAGAAAATTGAAATCATATCAAGCATCTTTTCTGACAACAGCGCTATGAGATTAGAAATGAATTAGAGGGGAAAAAAACGTAAAAAGCACAAACACATGGAGGCTCAACAATACGTTACTTAATAACCAAGAGATCACTGAAGAAATCAAAGAGGAAATCAAAAAAATACGTAGAGACAAATGACAATGAAAACACGATGATCCAAAACCTATGGGATGCAGCAAAAGCAGTTCTAAGAAGGAAGTTTATAGCTATGCAAGCCTACCTCAAGAAACAAGAAAAATCTCAAATAAACAATCTAACATTACACCTAAAGGAACTAGAGAAAAAAGAACAGACAAAACCCAAAGTTAGCAGAAGGAAAGAAATCATAAAGATCAGAGCAGAAATCAATGAACTAGAAACAAAGAAAACAATAGCAAAGATCAATAAAACTAAAAGCTGGTTCTTTGAGAAGATAAACAAAATTTATAAACTATTAGCCAGACTCATCAAGAAAAAGAGGGAGAAGACTCAAATCAATAAAATTAGAATTGAAAAAGGAGAAATCACAACTGACACTGCAGAAATACAAAGCATTCTAAGAGACTACTACAACTAACTCTATGCCAATAAAATGGACAACCTGGAAGAAATGGACAAATTCTTAGAAAGGTATAACCTTCCAAGACTGAACCAGGAAGAAACAGAAAATATGAATGGACCAATCACAAGTAATGAAATTGAAACTGTGATTAAAAATCTTCCAACAAACAAAAGTCCAGGACCAGATGGCTTCAAAGGTGAATTCTATCAAACATTTAGAGAAAAGCTAACACCCATACTTCTCAAACTCTTCCAACAATTTTCAGAGGAAGGAACACTCCCAACCTCATTCTATGAGGCCACCATCACCCTGATACCAAAACCAGACAAAGATACTACAAAAAAGGAAAATGCAGACCAAGATCACTGATGAATATAGATGCAAAAATCCTAAACAAAATACTAGCAAACAGAATCCAACAACACATTAAAAGGATCATACACCATGATCAAGTGGGATTTATCCCAGGGATGCAAGGATTCTTCAATATACATAAATCAGTCAATGTGATAAACCATATTAACAAATTGAAGAATAAAAACCATATGATCATCTCAATAGATGCAGAAAAAGCTTTTGACAAAATTCAACACCCATTTATGATAAAAACTCTCCAGAAAGTGGGCATAGAGGGAACCTACCTCAACATAATAAAGGCCATGTACAACAAACCCACAGGAAACATCATTCTCAATGCTGAAAAACTGAAAGCATTTCCTCTAAGATCAGGAATGAGCCTAGGATGTGCACTCTTACCACTATTATTCAACATAGTTTTGTAAGTCCTAGCCATGGCAATCAGGGAAGAAAAAGAAATAAAAGGAATACAAATTGGAAAAGAAGAAATAAAACTGTCAGTTTGCAGATAACATGATACTATGCATAGAAAATCCTAAAAATGCCACCAGAAAACTACTAGAGCTAATCAGTGAATTTGGTAAAGTTGCAGGATACAAAATTAATGTACAGAAATCTCTTGCATTCCTATACACTAATGATGAAAAATCTGATAGAGAAATTAAGGAAACACTCCCATTTACCACTGCAACAAAAAGAATAAAATACCTAGGAATAAACCTACCTAGAGAGACAAAAGACCTGTATGCAGAAAACTATAAGACACTGATGAAGGAAATTAAAGATGATACCAACAGATGGAGAGATATACCATGTTCTTGGATTGGAAGAATCAATATTGTGAAAATGACCATACTACCCAAAACAATCTACAGATTCAGTGCAATCCCTATCAAATTACCAATAGCATTTTTTACAGGACTAGAACAAAAAAATCGTAAAATTTGTATGGAGACACAAAAGACCCCAAATAGCTAAAGCAGTCTTGAGGGAAAACAGTGGAGCTGGAGGAATCAGACTCCCTGACTTCAGACTATACTACAAAGCTACAGTAATCAAGACAATATGGTACTGGCAGAAAGACAGAAATATAGATCAATGGAACAGGATAGAAAGCCCAGAGATAAACCCACACCCCTATGGTCAACTAATCTATGACAAAGGAGGCTAGGATGTACAATGGAGAAAAGACAGTCTCTTCAATAAGTGGTGCTGGTAAAACTGGACAGCATCATGTAAAAGAATGAAATTAGAACCCTCCCTAACACCATACACAAAAATAAAGTCAAAATGGATTAGAGACCTAAATATAAGACCGGACACTATAAAACTCTTAGTGGAAAACATAGGAAGAACACTTTTTGACATAAATCACAGCAAGATCTTTTTTGGTCCACCTCCTAGAATAATGGAAATAAAAACAAAACTAAAAAAATGGGACCTGATGAAACTTAAAAGCTTTAGCAAAGCAAAGGAAACTACAAACAGGATGAAAAAAACAACCCTCAGAATGGGAGAAAATATTTACAAATGAATCAATGGACAAAGGATTAATCTCCAAAATATATAAACAGCTCATGCAGCTCAATATTAAGAAAACAAACAATCCAATCCAAAAATGGGCAGACCAAAACAGACATTTCTCCAAAGAGGACATACAGATGGCCAAGAGGCACTTGAAAAGCTGCTCAACATCACTAATTATTAGAGAAATGTAAATCAAAACTACAATGAGGTATTACCTCATACCAGTTAGAATGGGCATCATTAGAAAGTCTACAAACAACAAATGCTGGAGAGGGTGTGGAGAAAAGGGAACCCTCTTGCACTGTTGGTGGGAATGTAAATTGATACAGCCACTATGGAGAACAGTATGGAGGTTCCTTAAAAAACTAAAAATAGGGCTTCCCTGGTGGCGCAGTGGTTGAGAGTCTGCCTGCCGATGCAGGGGACGCGGGTTTGTGCCCCAGTCTGGGAGGATCCCATGTGCCGCAGAGCGGCTGGGCCCGTGAGCCATGGCTGCTGGGCCTGCGCGTACGGAGCCTGTGCTCTGCGACGGGAGAGGCCGCGGCAGTGAGAGGCCCGTGTACTGTAAAAAAAAAAAAAAACAAAACTAAAAATATAATTACCATATGACCCAGCAATCCCACTACTGGTCATATACCTGGAGAAAACCATAATTCAAAAAGACACATGCACCCCAATGTTCATTGCTGTGCTATTTACAATAGCCAGGTCATGGAAGCAACCTAAATGCCCATCAACGGACGAATGGATAAAGAAGTTGTGGTACATATATGCAATGGAATATTACTCAGCCATAAAAAGGGGAAAAATTGGGTCATTTGTAGAGATGTGGATGAATCTAGAGACTGTCAAACAGAGTGAAGCAAGTCAGAAAGAGAAAAACAGATATTGTATATTAACGCATATATGTGGAACCTAGAAAAATGGTACAGATGAACCGGTTTGCAGGGCAGAAAGTAAGCAACTTTAAATTGGATACTAGGCTTCCTTTTATTTTACACTTCCATAATTTTACAAAGTGCCATCCTGTGTTACATAATAAAACATAAACCAAATATGACAGTTATGTGACCCAATCTCATCTTAAAATCATATTAGCTAATGCTCTTGGATTATGACTATCCAAAATTGTACCCGCCACAGTTAATCTGAAGAAAAAAGGAAATTAGACTGAATTATTAAGTACGTGAAACCCATTTTGGTGGATCAATTCTATTCAACTTGTAAACTTTTTCATCGATGGAAAATGGAGCTAAGCCAAATATGAAAAATTGTTTCATTTTTTTTACCTATGCTATCCAGTTTTTTTTAAACAGAACATCCTCCAAAACAAGAACAAAGTCAGTTTACTGTATTAAATTTTTGAAATGCAATATGCATTTCTTAGGCATTGATTTTATTTATTTAATTATTTTTGTAAGTCATACATGCCTCAACACACAAAGATGGCTACTTATGTAACATCCTTCCTAATATGTCCAAGTCCCAAAATAATATTCTCTCTTAGACAAATATGTTATCATGAACTAGGTGCCACAAAACAAGAGGTATTCTAATACTGTATTGAAAAAGAATTGTTTTGAGCTCTGAGTGCTTAAGAGAACACGTAAATGCATCTGCTACAATTTTCAATCAGTAACTCTATTGTTCAGAGAACTAGATGACAGTATAAGAACCCTGTAAGTATTTTCTTCAGAAGAGGAGAGGAAACACATAGAATCTGAGACTAAGGTAGGCTGACAGGTTGAATTAATACCACCAGGAGCCTGCTGTTTTGTGGACACAATTGCAATGGCTCTATTATGTAACAGAACAATGATTTTCAAAGATTTATGATGAACACATGCAGTAGCAAATATGTTAATAAATTAATTAAGAAAAGTAAAACCCTTTCCAGTATTCTTACTTGGAGGCAGATCCTGCATTTTAGGAATATAAAAACACTCCCTGAAGTGCCTCAGCTTATCTTCCTCATCGAGGCGGAGGGCAACCCTCTCATCTGTTGGGTGACATCTAAGTTCAGATGCGATGCGTCGGACTGTGTTAGCTGGTAACTCAAGAGGTGAAAGTTCCATTATAAGTTCTCCTCTAAAAATTAATTTGAAAAAAATTAAAAATAATCTAGCCACCATCATTTTTTTTGGTAGAAAATTAGCTTTTAGGTAAAACACCTTTTGTTTTAACTAAGCTTCTCATCTTCCCAACCTCACGAATAATATAATTAACAATCAGCATTAAACCCCATGCCTGAGTTTTTCTCATGCACATAATAATGAAAATAATAGTGACTTAGGGATGCTGAAAGGACTGAATTAGGTAATGGTGCTCAAGACAAAGTAAGCTCTCAATCAGTGTTAGCTCTTTCCATTTTTATTTTCTGAGAAGTGGTCCAAATAAATGTTGTTCAAACATATATAATGTCAGCACTTTTTCCTTTAGGTGTCTTACTAGGAGGTAACAGTAAAGATGCTTTTGTGAAAAGTATAGAAGAGCAGTGCCCCAACTAGCTTATCCTCCTTCTCCCTAGCCCACCTCCACTCTCCCCTCCCCAGTGATTCTTGGATCATAGTTTTAGAAATATGAACATATATACAATAGAACCTTAACAAATTCTTTATTGTGAATAAAAACAATATCGATGAAAAAGTATTTAAACACCTTAAATAATGTTAGTAATTTTTGCCATATGAAGACCAAAGAAATCTACCTGCTGCTGCTAATGAGAAACTTCTCTTTCACAGTCATACAGAGCATCTTTTTTTTTTTTTTTTTTTTTTTTTGCGGTATGCAGGCCTCTCACTGTTGTGGCCTCTCCTGTTGCGGAGCACAGGCTCCAGACACGCAGGATCAGCGGCTATGGCTCACGGGCCCAGCCGCTCCACAGCATGTGGGATCTTCCCGGACCGGGGCACGAACCCGTGTCCCCTGCATCGGCAGGTGGACTCTCAACCACTGTGCCACCAGGGAAGCCCCCAGAGCATCTTTGAACAAAGCAGGACCCTTTCTTGAAACCACATCCTGCTTCCTTTAGTCATCATCTAACACTTCCCACCCTTTTGGAAAGAAAACTTAAATTTTGGAATGGGATAAATGACAATGGAGTTCTATATTTATATTTATTTTGTAATTAGTTTTTATATTTGTATTTTATTTCCCAAAGTTTTAGTTTTTTGAAATTGAGCAAGAATAGGAGAGGCTTCCTGTTTAAGATGGCAGTGCAGGAAGATACTGAACTCACTTGACCCCACAGACGCAATGAGTCTACAACTACATATGAAGCAGTTTCCTCTGAAAAAACCTAAAGGCTGGCTGAGCATCAACTACACATCAGGAGAACGAGGGGAAAACCACACTGAAGTGATTAGAAGAGGCTAGGACACAATCTAGCCTTGACACCCTCTTGCCCGTGTGGTGACCCACAGTCTGGAGGGAATCAAAACCTGGAGCTTTTCTATCAAGTGTGTCTTTACTATAAACCCATTACTTATGGTAGCTTGATTGAGTTACTATTGAACTGTATTCTACCTGGGCGCCTGAATCTTGTTTAATTTATCTTTGTAGTCAACCCATTCCTGAGAAGTGCCTTTCAGATAGAGTGTTCCGCCCGAAATGGCAATTGAATAAGATTCACAAAATAGCTTGGTGAATTATTTGACAGGATTAATGACTGTTACTAGAGGACTACCCTCCTCATTCCAACCACAGAGGAAATAATTAAAGGAACATTTTCAATGGGATTCAGAATCAAGAGAGCTTGCCTTGTATTTGAGACTTCCTTTGGAGAGTCAGCACTTTCAGAGTTCATCAGGGTTGACTCTAAACTCTGACTGGGTTATCTAAATCAATACACAAATTAATTTTCTACCATCATATTAGCAATAAAATTCAACTTCATTTAAAAAAATATTTGTATTAACTCATTAGCCTCTTTATATTTGTTTCTTATTTAATCCCTGTAACAATTCTGAGGGATCAGAGTCATTTTCCCCTATTTTGAGACCAAACTCTGGAATCAATAGAGTAGAAACAAAAATGAAAGAGAAGGATAATAGAGCTCACAATTTGGGACTGCACTTGCCTGAGGAGCTGAGTCAAATTGTGCTTGTCTTTGACAGGGCATGTGGGTGGAATGTGCAGAGAAGAATTCCTGACCCAAGACTTGAACCTCTCACTTCTTTTCTTTCAATCTTGTTTCTTGATTTTCCTTTCGATGTTTCTTTGGTTCATTCCCTTTCTCTCCCTTTATTTCTTTTTTCAGCCCTGTACTCAGTCTGCAAAGCACCACAGGCTATTACTCTTTTTAATCCTTTCAGTCCCAGCCAGGCAAAGGTTAAAGTGCTGGTCCTACTTCTGGGCCTGTCATAGCCCAGGTGTCAAAACCTCACCTGCACTGACAGTAAGATACCTGCTGGTGAAATAGTCTTTCCAGAAGAGCAAACTGGGTGCCACCCTGCCAACAGGCACAGCTTCCGACAGAAGTAGGGCTTCCCTGGTGGCGCTGTGGTTGAGAGTCCGCCTGCCGATGCAGGGGACACGAGTTCGTGTCCCGGTCCGGGAAGATCCCACATGCCGCGGAGCGGCTGGGCCTGTGAGCCATGGCCGCTGACCCTGCGCGTCCGGAGTCTGTGCTCCGCAACGGGAGAGGCCACAGCAGTGAGAGGACCAAGTACCGCAAAAAAAAAAAAAAAAAAAAAAAAATTCCAAATTTTATACTTCATGTATTTAGTGTTAATTTTATTTTAAAAGTGGACATGTACACATATGGTCTTAGGCGAGTCTCCTAACATTTCTCTGCTGCAATGTTATGTAAAACTATCTTAAATTCTACTTCAGAAGATCATGGTTAGGATCAAATAAAATTATTTAAGTAAATTCCTTTCTAAAGAGATAAAAGATAGTCTCATAATATATTTTCATATTAGTACCTTGTGATGGAAATTGCCATTTTACTGTCAATTTAGCTTTTGAAATTTTGTAAATTGTGTTTTCAATTTTATTTAGACAGCTAAAACTTTAAAGCTGAAACTCTTAGAATCATAAAAATTTTTTTATGGAATTATGGAATTCAGGATCTCCCAAGTTGCCCACAGGTCTAAGGTTAAATAGTTAAGTAAATGACAATGAATACCCAGTAGTTAATCTTTACACAGTTTCAGGTTTCATGCCTGAAATGAGCAAATTATTCACTTGAGTCCAAAGATTAGAACCTGGTAAAGCAAATTATGAAGAAAGTGTGTAGCTTTTCATTGAGAAAGAAAGTATTACTTAATATATGTGCATAGAACAGTGTTCTTTAAATATATCATTGTTTGAGGAATGAGTGACATCACTGACATAGCTGTATACTTCATATCTAAGCTTATATGAATTATATGCTGAGTTTCACATTAATAAGTTCAATGCATTTGCTCCAATATTACTACCTAAAAAAACACCCCTCCGTCCTCAAAGTAAAAGCAGGAAAGAAAAAAGAAACTCTTTTAGCTATATAGAAAAAATGTGTATCAACTTTCCATTCTTAGGCAAACATTTCACAGAGTGAAAGGGGAAGAAACCTCACTCAAGAAATAGACATTTTCACTTCTCTAAACAAAAATTGAGTATGACTAACAGCACTAAAGACAACTAGAGTTACCAGAAAACAAAAGACCTAAAGCTAATTTAATAATTTGAATTTTGATCAAATCTTACCATTTAAACTCAAGTACCAAGATTAACTTATTCAACTATAACTATCTTTTAGTAGATGAATTGCAGTATACTATTGACATCAATTCTTTTTTTACTATATTGGTAAAAATCTCTTCATTTAACTCGCAATTTTAAAGGTGAGAACACTTTTAGGGTGTTGCACTGTTTTTATGAAAATAATTTGGAGGAGAAAAAGAGAAGAAACTGGCAGAAGAAACCTCTAAAGCATTATGACAAGAATTCTAGCAGAATATCCCTTTAGAAAAATCACTGAATGTATATTTGTGTACAGAGTATATATATCAGTGTCTCACGGCTTACCGGCTAGGGTTCCAATGGGGTCCACAGCTCCCAGTGTTTCTGCTTCAACAAAAAAAAAAAACCTCTCAAGAGTTCCTTACAAATTTATAGGCCAGACTTCTGGGTGAGAAATTGAAAGCACTTCTGCTCAGACTCCACCCTCCGGGGAATCTGTGAGCTAACTTTAGTTCTTCCCACTCTGTGTATGCTGATTGTAAATCTCCAATCACTGACAAACATCTAAACAAAATGCTGCTTCTGCTCTCTATTTCAAACACTAGGGGCTCTGCTTAGGGCAGCTCCCTAAGGGTCTCTGACCTTTACACTTAGATAAACACTTCTTTGTCCTCCAACTAAGACCTTTGAGAATGTGAGCTATATCCTGTAATAATCCTATAGAGTAAATAGATTATCCTCATTTTTTTGTGAAATGAACCAATGAGTTTGTCCAGGAACTAAATCCCCAAATTTGCAATCCTTCCTTGCTTTGGGCTATGGAATACACTAAGGACTGGAGAAAAGTTCTTTCCCAACTCTGGGAGATAAGGAAAACTTAGATTTTGAGGCAGTACCCCACTGTCAAAAGCACTGTAAGTTTCTAGTCTGAAGGTAGAGTTTGATATTTAATGAATTAACATTTTAGTCGAAAGTTTAATATTGGCCCACAATTCTAGAATATACTTTATTGCCCAATAGGTGGATTTTAGAAAGTCTTAAATTAACAGTTAACAAAACAATCAAGGAAGAAAGAGTTAGAGTTTGAAGATCAAGTGGAAACTAGCCTAGGAAACTTCATAAATGGAAATTATTCCTTTAAGCCTGTGGGCTATCTATTGTTCTACCTTCATTATCTCTTTATGCTTATTCCTGAGCTTGGGTCTTTTAGTGAATATCCTTTTAGGTATCAAAAACCAAGAGCAAAATGTTTCAGAATGAAGACCAAAGATAGAGACTGGGCCTGAATAATTAACTCACTTGTACATCTGCCCCTTGTTGAGCCCCACACCATACCAGGTATAGCATTATTTGATTCAATCAAATAATTATTTGATTCAATCTACCATATGTTTGCTGTGTAACTCTGGACAATTTACCTCACCTGTGGTGAGTCTCATATGTCATCTATCAGATGGAGACATAAAAGTACCTTTCCATCAAGATTACTGAGATATAAAACAATGTACCTAGAGAGCCAGTGTACCAAGACACATAAGTTAATAAGTAACATGTCCCTATTTTTTTTTAGTTAACCAGACCAAAAGCATTACCCTCCAGTGTATGAGAGATGGGGATAAAAGACATGAAGTCACTTTCATACAAGTAATTGAACAGTGAAAAGAAAATGTATTTCATCTCATGAACCTTATCATTATAATAATACTATAGAGTAAGTAGAGTGTCTTAATTTTATTAAGTTGGAAGAGTAAAACTTTGAATCCAGAGTATCTCAAATTTTGTGGGTTTTTTTTCTATTTTGCTTATTCCTTATGCTGTAAGAGTGTTAGACAATTTGTCCAGTTCTAATATCCAGGAAGTGAGCCTGAGGGTGAAGTCTGTGTCATTTTTGGTAGAATTATACTCCTTTAACTACAGGAGACAGATATAGGTACATATAGAAGTAGAGATAAAGTGTCTTACTTTCACACTACTTCTTCTAAAGTCTTTTGATAATGTTAAAGACCATGCCATAAAAATATTGTCTTAAAAACTATTGTTTAACATAGCCACTTTTAAAGAACTTGCTTGGAGGTCTAAGCTGTCATCCTAGTTCTTATATTTTGTATATCTGTCTTTTTTAATCTGTTACCTTCATTCATTTTTTAAAAAGTATTAAGAATATTCTTTGTTCCTGGGGATATAATGGTTTTCCATTATAAAATCTTTATAATACTCACATAAGCCCCTAAAAATATAAAGGATTGTGAGATAAGTCGTGACAGGAGTGGTGAAAGAAAGATCCACTGCAAGGCCAGCTGTGGCGGGAAAAGAAAGAACAGAGTGAGCTTCCATTTCTTCTTTTTTGGAAACAGAAAGAGGAAACATGTTGCCAGGATAAATGTACCAATTCAGAGTTGTCTTTTAGTTTCCACGTATGTCATCTGGCCTGTAACATGATATGTCTCTGAAAGGCAGAAAATTTGATTTTATCCTCTTCAGAGTTTGCCCATGAATAGAGCTAAGAAAATACCTGTTGAATTAGGTTGGGTTTTTTTTCAGAAGATGATTCATTTCCTTCCATCAAAATTGCTGATTGGGGATATGAGGGAAAGTCTGTTCTCAAAAACTGATTCTTAAACAGTGAATTTTATATTTACTCTTCAAGGCTTATTCACTAAGGCTGGACCAGTGTGTGGCATAAAGTAGTAGACTTCAGTCGGGGCTCACAGTATTATTAATCAAATTAAATTCAGTGTAGCAACTGTTTCTGTAAGAATCCAAGGCTACAGATCCAACTATGAAGCTCTAATGCTAAATGTTCAGTAAGTAAAAACGAGTATGTGACTGAGGCAAAGATGCTGGTTGGTGGCCAGTTCAAGTCCAACTATTAAAAGTGTTCTGTAGAAGTAAAAGAGAACCTCGGGGGCCAGTGAGGACAGACTGATAAAAAGCTGCAGTCTCAAACTTGGGTGTTGAAGGGTAGCATAATATGCCACCCCAAAATAGAACTGTAGTAGTTCAGGACATGTCACCACAAAATATGCCCCTGTGGCATATTGACTATTATGAGCTGTAGGCACTTGAAAAACAGCAAATGCAGGGAGAGGATGTCTCTGAACTCCCTTTATCTGCCTAAAGATAGATCCTAAAGGAACCCAATTTTCGTAAATGCCCTCCTCAGAAGTTTCATTAACCAGGGAAGATTGAGTCTTATCACAGAAGAGACTAGAAGTCCACACCACACACAGACAGACCTTGTCACAAACTATTCTATCTCTCATCCTTTCTTCTAAGGGCCCATTGATCTTTCCTAAAAATCGTTTATTCTCCACGAAGTGGCATACATTCCTCTTCCCTTCCCTATTAAGATGGGAATTTAGCCTGAATTCTAAGCCAGCTCTGAGAGTTATTCATTTTCTCCTGGATATTTCCTATGTATACATGAGGTATTCATGTTAATAAACTTACTTTTTTTTTTTTTCTCTTGTTAATCTGTCTTTATTACAGGGATCTCAGCTAAGAACTCAGAAGGGTAGAGGGAAAATTATTTTTCCTCCCCTACAGTGTATAGGAACTTTCACATAGATCTATTTTTTCTAATTAAGTAAAAACATGTAGGAACTCGCTTCTCACTTCTGTGCAGGGAAATTTAATCTGAGTCATTATTAGGACGCTCCTTCCTTCTTCTTCCAAGGGGATGTTGGAAATACCCCAGACGTTTTACACATAGCAAAATACTCTGGGGCCAGCCTAGTAGCTTCCTTCTCTCTCTTCCCTTCTGCCTCTCCTTTCCCAGCCTCATCACTTTGCACTGCCAACACTCTTTCCCCTTCCTCTTAGGGTTAACCAACATAACATAAGTTCTCTCAAAACCCAGGTCAGGGGGTTCTTGTCAAGCAATTTCATTCTGAAGCCAAGGAATGCCAAATCTTTCATGGGTAGGGGAAAATATTGGAACAATATCAAGAACAGAACACCGCCTCCCCAAATTCTCTCTCCTCTGTTCTTCCCCCTCCCCTTTCCTTTTCTCCCTCCTTTCCTCTCCTTCCCTGCCTTCTTCTCTTGCCTTCCCTTTTTATCCTTCCCCCTTCTTACTCCCTCCCCTCCCCCCTCTTCCTCTACTCTCCTTAATCCTCCTCCCCTGCCTTTTCTCTCTCTCTTGCCCCTCTCCCTTTTCTTCTTTCTTCTTCTCCATTACCTCCCTCCTGTCCTCACCCCTTCGCGCTCCTCCTCTCCTTCTCCTCCACTCTTTTCCCCTCCTCTCTTCCCTCTTCTCCCTCTCCGTCATATCTAACAGGGAAAGCAAATAACAGTAAATCGCTAGGCTAAATAGATAATCTGTTCTGTCTTTCCTATGAGATATATATTCTGGTTATTAGAAAAATTCCCCAGTAATGAGCACGGGCTTTCCTATCCTCTATATGCAGTATTTTAGTTTTTTTTTTTTTTTTGAGAAAAAATACAAGGGTTTATTATAAGCAAATGACATTTTGCCAGTTGGTACTTAAAATTCATTTGTAGGGACTTCCCTGGTGGCTCAGTGATTAAGACTCCAGGCTCCCAATGCAGGGGGCCCAGGCTCGATCCCTGGTCAGGGAACTAGACCCTACATGCATGCCACAACTAAGGAGCCAGAGAGCCTCAACTAAGGAGCAGGTGAGCGGCAATTAAGAAGCTTGGCTGCTGCAGCTAAGACCCAGCACAACCAAATTAATTAATTAATTAAATATTAAAAGAATTCATTTGTAGACTAAAATTCCTATAACCCACGCACTTTTTCCTAGTTCAAATTTTCCCCCTCAGTGTTAAATTCAGAGGCATTCAAGTCAATCTATATGTTGTACTCTAGCAGGGGAAGTTGAATATTCTCTATTAGATATGTTTGCATATCGATTTGCCCAAATATCTGATTGTGTATATGAAGAACTGGAATTAACAAAATTATCTATTTTTTCCTCTGTATTCAAATAGTAAGCAGACGAAAGAATCAGAGCTGAGCTACAAAGAGTTTCAAAACAGTTTTGAAATAGGCAAATGCTTTTAATATTGCTGGCCCTATTTCAATGAGTCATCACATCTGAATAGAGGGAACTTTAATGAATATATATATATATATATATATATACCACATCTTTTCCATTCATTCCATAAATGGGCACTTAGGTTGTTTCCATATCTTGGCTATTGTAAACAATGCTGCGATGAACATAGGGGTGCATATATCTTTTTGAATTAGTGTTTTTGTTTTCTTCAGATAAATACCTGGAAGCGAATTAGCTGAATCATATGGTAGTTCTATTCTTAATTTTTTTTGTAATCTCCATTTTGTTTTCCATAGTGACTGCACCAGTTTACATTCCCACCAGCACTACACAAGGGTTCCCATTCTCTCCAACACTTGTTATTTCTTGCCTTTTTGATCGTAGTCATTCTAATGGGCATAAGGTGATATTTGTGGGTTTGATTTGCATTTCCCTAATAATT